TCCATGCGCAGCATCTTATGCCCTCATACCCAGATTGAAGTGACCCCCAAGGCATGTCTTGCCATCTCTCCTGGAGTTCAGGGGAGCTGGGGGAGATGGCTTGATGGTGGGCTGAAAGGGAGAGACCCCAAGAGCTGTCTTTTTCCAAAGGCTTATGGGTATGGTTGCTCCCAAGTAGTCTTTGATCTGCTGGTGGTGTGGTGTGTTCCTTGGCAGCTCCTGCCCTGCTAGTCACAGCAACCCTGGGGAGATTAGGCTGATCTCCAAGGGGGACAGCTGGTGGCTTCTCTTGCACTTATCTGAGGAAACCATTTCTAAGCAGCATTGTTTAGTTAATGCAATAGATACACGTAATGTTCTTGCGTGTGAAGTAGACCTGGTCATTTATTGTGGGCTGCTGCTTGATCTTCCTCCAGAGACCTAAGGAAGGTTTTAGTGGGGATGGGAGCAGTCACCCTGTGGCCATCCTCCTTTTCTCCTCAGCCTGCTGTGTTACTTTGCGGTCTGCTCGGTTGACCTGGTTTCTTCCTGCTTGCTCAGTCAATAGCCCCGTTACGCTGCCTGGTTTTTAGTTGATTTGAGCGGAGGCTCTGCCTTGGGCAGGTGTCTCTGCTTGGCTGACTCTCTTGCAGGCTTCTGGTTTGCCCTTGGTGGAGCCACTCTGGAGAGATGCAGAGCAACGTCCCACCCTGCTCCCAAGGACATGCATCCAGGGCAGCATCTTGAGCCTGAATGTGGACAGAACATCTCTGCTCAACCCCAATGCTTTTATCAGTGTTGGAAAAGCTGTGTCCTCTGTCCTGGACCATGAGTGAAAAGCCAAGGCTAGCATGGATCCAAGGAGCATCGCTGCCTCAGCCAATTGCTTGGGCTGCTGTCCTGAGGGCATGTTGGAGAACTCCATCATGGATGGAGAGGGGCTGAGACCGGCTCTACGTGACTACTGCAACCTGACAAAGTCTTGTTTGGCTTCCAGAGGTTGAGACCTCCCCCAGGTTCGAGGGACTAACTCCTCTTGTGTTACCAAGCAGGGGTCCAAGCCCATTTCTTTAGTCACGGGTGTCAGACTGAAGTTTTGTTGGTGAAGTGTTGTTCTGCCTCATTGGAGCAAAAACTAATGACCTCTTCTACACTTTTGTCTTCACATCGTCGTAGCAGATGATTCTCCAGGTGAGATGTCAACAAATGTAGACTGGGGACAGCGCAGGGAGACTAGGGCAAGGAGGAAGATGTTGGCAGACCCTCCAAGAGGTGGAGGACATAGGGACAGCCTTGCAGAGCAGTTAGTGTTTGCCAAGCTGCTTGACTTCTGCATGGCTTGTGGAAGGTGGGTGGAATCCAGACAGGTGCTGACATGACCGGGCTTGTGGACTAAACTGTTCTACGTTATCCTAAACTGTGGTGGTGGGAGCAGGGCAAGAGCTGTGGTGAAACTGCTGCTCTGAGCGTACGTTGAAGAGAAGACTTGAAACATGGGCCAGAGCTATCCAAAATCTAAGGAGGTCTTCAGCAGGTAGTTAGGCAGACGTGGTAGGCAGCCAACATGGACAAGCAGGAAGGGGAAAAGGAAGCATATAGGAAGTAGAAGGGGGGGACAAGCTGCTTGAGTGTGCAGGGATGGAGTTGGGAGAGACAAAGCTCAGCTGGAATTGGACTTGGAGAAGCATGTGAAGGACAAAAAGAACAGCTTCTGTGTTAAGAATGGCTTCAGCAGCAGCAGGAAGGCTATGGAAAAATGCTCTTAATGGAGCAGAGGACTTGGTGGGAAAGGACATGGAAAAGACCAGGGTACTCGCTGCTGCTTTTGCCTTGATTTTGGCTGGTTAGGTCTGTCTTCAGACCTCCCAGGGCCCAAGCGTAATAGCAGAGTCTGATGGAATCATCTGAAGGTGCTGAGGAAAGCAGCCAATGTCAATTCACTATCTCATCTTTGAAAAGTCCTGGTGATCCGGGGAGGTTCATGACACCTGGAAAAAGGCAAATGTCCCACCTGTCTTCAAGTAGGGTAAGAAGGAAGGTCTGGGGAACTACCCCATTGCATCCTCCAAGGAGGTGGCTGGCTGTGTGGACAAGGGGAGAGAGTGAATGTTCATCTGGACTTTGACACGGTCTCCTGTAGCCTCCTTTTAGCAGAATTGAAGACATGGGGGCTGGAGAAGAGAATTATTGGGTGCATGGAAGACTGATGCTGGTTGTTCATGTTCCTCGGGGATCACTTGTAGGGCCAACTGGTCCCATCTTGGCTCCCCAGTGCAAGAAGCGAGTGAGAGGTTGGCGTGACCATGGGAGAGGCCCCCAGGACAGTTCCCACTGCAGCATAAGATGGGTGAAGAAGACAGCCCGGAGGAGAGAAAGTGAGGGGGGACCTTACTGCTGTCTGCAAAAAGCTGATGGGAGACTGCGGAGAAGATTGAGCCAAACTCTTTTAGGAGGTGTCACAGGGAGAGGGAAAGGGCAACGGAGACAAACTGGAGCGGAGGACAACTCCAGCTCAAATTAAGGAAAACCTTTCTCACTGTAAGTGTGGTCAAACATCAGAAAAAGGTACCCTGAGAGGCTGTGGGGTCGCCATCCTTGGAGATGTTCTGATCTCAGCTGGACACAGCTCTGAGCAGCCAAACTGGCCCAGTCTAGAGCAGAGGGTTGGATCCAGAGGTGGCCACCAGCTCAAGGAGTTTGTGGTGGCTGAGAGCCATGGGAGAAGCTGTCACTGTGAGAGTGTACAGGACTTGGAGGATACCTGGGTGTCCGTGTCAGCACAGTGCTGGAGCATCTGGGCTGGGAGGGGAGCTGTGGACAGAGAAAAGGATGAAGTGGTCTGCAGCCAGGGGTGAAGAGCTCCTACTATTACCCCCGGAGCATGGTAGGTGCTTCAACTCCCCAGGGGTGATCTAGGGATGGAGAGAAGCACCAGGACCTCTTTCTGGGAAGGTCCTGGTACTCTAGGATAGAGCTGAAAATGCCCAACCCATGTCCTCCTCTTCAGGGGAAGACAGAGGAGGTGGGTTGCTCTGGCCATCCTGACATGTCTGGGCTTGCGCAACAGGCGGGGAACACTTGTGCACATGGACATCTTCCTCTGCCCCACTCCTGGGGTAGATGGTCTGCTGCACTGATGCTCAGTGTGTTCCAGCATGTGGAACCCAGTATTTTAGGGAAGGAGCTTGGAACGGGGCTTACCTGGAGCTCCTTTGTGCTTCTAAGCTTCAATAGAAGCCATCATCTGATGGGTGCAATGGGACAGCTGCTCTCTCCATTCCTGAATATCCTTGCATGACAAAGCTCGGACCTGGTGCCCTTTCTGAGAAGTTCAGATACCAGTAGCCTGGTGTCCTGGTGTCATCCTGGAAAAGCCATAGATCCAGCCAGGACTGTCGCTGGTGGACGCTGTCTCTGTTGCATGGTGAACACCCTGTGTCCTTCCTCTTCCTGGTGCTCACCTGCCTGCTGACGTAGCTCAGGAGGCTCGAGGAGGTGCCTCGGCAGAGGTTGCTCCTTGCCCTGAGCCGTGTTCTCCCCAGCCACCTCCTTGAGAAGAGCTGCTGTGTGTTGTGGTTGGGTTCTATGGAGACGCCGTCCCTGCAGGGAGATGGCTTCCTGCCTTTGCTTTCACATTGAAGGTGGTTTCACAAGTGTTGCGGCCTCAGGTTCATGCTGCAGGAGAGCAACATCTCCCAGCCCTACCAGGGATCACCTTCTCCTGAGTTACTCCACCTCTGGAAAACTCCGCTGGGAGCCCTCGGTTGGCAGATTGCAGCTCAGGCAGCCTGGAACTTGATGATTTGTCAGAAAAGGGCAATTTAGGGGGACAAGGCAGTTGGCACCCTCCATCCCAGCTGATGCTGGTCATGGAGACCCAGGTTGCTATCTGGGACCAGCTCTGCTGGCTCCCTCAGCACCTTCTCCTGAGTTTCTGGTAGGGCCTCCTGAGCCAACACGGAGAAATATTGGGTCCAGTGAAGTCCTGCAGCGCAGCACATGTCACAGGACAGCTTTCCGCTCCATGCTGGAGCACTTCTTGCCTGGTCCAGAGCCTTCCCTGGGAAGCAGAGTGGTTGATGTGCTTGCTCCTGTTCCTCCAAGGAGGCCACCTAGCTTCTGCCCATCATCCTTGCTTTGGGGCAGTGGTTTTGTCATTTTGACATGACGCCTGGGGCATTTCTGCTCTGGAGAAGCCCTGCCTGCAGCCCCCTGCAGTGGGCGCGGGGTGCCCATCCTCTGGAGAAGCCCCCATCCCCTGGAGAAGCACCCTGCAGTGGGCAGCAGGTGCTCATACTCTGGAGAAGCTCCCATCCTCTGGAGAAGCACCTTGCAGTGGGCACCAGCTGCCCATCTTCTGGAGAAGCCCTATCCCCTGGAGAAGCCCTCTGCAGTGAGCACCAGGTGCTCATCCTCTGGAGAAGCCCCATGCCCTGGAGAAGCACCTTGCAGAGGACACCAACACCCATCCCTGGTAACTCGCCTTGCAGGTGCTCGGTGCGACGTGACAGAGCTGGGCTGACCTCCCGGTGGTAGGAAGGATGGAGCTGCTCTTTTCACCTCACCGGCCACCTTCAGGCAGAAATATGTCCCCATGAACCACCTCGAGGGGGGCTGCAGAGCAGGAAGACATCATGGACTGTCAACCCTTGAAGGTCGGAGCCATGATGGGGGGGATGATGCCACTCCTGGCTGGGAGACACTGATGGGTTGTCCTGCTTGCCCAGGTGAAGCCATGCAGGAGGAGAAGAGCTGGGCGAGGGATGCCCTCTCCTCCCGGTGGGCCGTGGGGGCCGTCGCTTTCATTTCGCTTCTCTTGCTCAGGCGGTAAATCGGGCCTGACGGGGCAGGAAGAGGCACCGAGCGCCGCCGGGAGGGGGAGGAGGCGCCGAGGCGGTGGCGCTGCCGGTTGGTAACCTCAGCGCTTCCTCCCAGCAGGGTGCCTTTCCCGCGGCGCCCGGGGATGCTGCCCTGACACCCGCATTCCCTTGGAAGGTGACCCTCTCCACCTGGTCCCAACCATGGCTGCGTCCCCCGGCGGGATCCCTGCTGAGCTGCAAGGTAACCATTGCCCGCCCGCCGCGCTGCCGGGGCACCGATGCCACATGGAAAGCACCGGTACAGGGCCTGCTTGGCCCCGGTTTGCCATGCCGGTGGTGGCAGAGCCACTTTCGGGTTCCTCATCGGCAGGAGCCGTGGTTTGGGGGGGTGCTGAGCAGGATCTGGGGTGCAAGGGCTTCTCTTGCCCCCAAAACCTCGCGTGCTTGGGGATGGTGCTAAAATCCCCAGAGAACAAGGTTGTGGTTCTCCTGCTGGTGCTGCTCAATCCCATGGGTTTGGGGTGTCCCCAGCCAACTGGGGGGTCCCCAGCAGCTCCCGAGGGAGGTATGGCCCGCAGCCCTGCCCCGGCTCCCCAGCAGCACCGGGGATGCCCGGAGTGCTGCAGCCTTCCCTCTTTTAATTGGAGAAGCAAAACGCTACAGGGGTCTCGGGGGTCCTGCAGCCTCCCCAGCCCCACCGAGGCTTGCAGCGGGGTGGGACAGAGCCATGTCGCTGCGTCCCCGCAGCCCCAGGTCGCCGCGCTTACCAGGATGGGTCCCCGGGGATGTGTGGCTCGAGTCGCTGGACCCGCGGGGCGCTCAGCAGCCTCAGCAAGGGCCGACGTTCTTGTGATGACACGGCTCACATGGTTGGCTTTGCCTGGTGATGGGCAGTCGTGGTCCTCGTCCCGCTCCTCTGAGCGAGAGGCGACGGAGGCAGCGCGGGCAGGCAATGCTCGAGGCGGGTGCGCTGGTACAACCACCCCTGCTCGTCGCGGCCGAGAGAGTTGCCGAAAACAACGTGAAAGCAGAACGCATCCCTGGCTGTGCCATGGGGAGATGGCACTTGGGGACCGAGTGGCTCCTCAGTGGTTAATGTGGGAAGGAAGGAAGAGAAACCAGGGTCCAGCTGTTGCTTGACACCAGCTCCCGGTGAGCAAAGCTGTATTGAAGCTCCCGGAGCGTAAATCAGTGACCCCAAAGCACTGTGCTTGGTCGAGGCTGCAGAAGCCGGTGAGGAGATGGATTTATCACCTGAGCAGCCAACAAGACCCAAAGCCGGTGAAGAAGTCTGTGGCTTAGCTGAGAGCACCACCAGGGTTTCTCTGGATGCAGAAGAGTTGATTCAGGCAGGGACGTGGGGGACGGTGTCCCCAAGGCAGCAGGGCACGTGGGAGAGGACCAGGGGTGGCTTCAGCTGCCTCACTTGGTGGGGACATTGGTCTTTTCAGAGGGCATCACCGCCTTCCTGGGGACAAAGAAGGTCCTCCTGGTGCTGAGCGTCCAGCTGCAGGTGAAATCCAAGTACGACGACTATATCTTGGTACGTGCAGAGTCCAACCCAGTTCCTGCTTTCCTGTTGTCCCCGGGCAGCTGTTTCTTGGCCACGGTGGGGGCCAGGGGTGGTTCCCGTGTCACCTCAGTCCTCTGTCACACCAATGTCCCCCTGCCTAGGTGCTGACGCCCTGGCGAGCCTATGTGTTGCCGGTGATGCTGCCGGTGAGGGTAAGTGCTGGGGACCCTGTGCCGTGGTAGAGCCCTGTGGATCCTGGGACTGCTACTTGAGGCACTGGGGTGGGTACCCCATGGGTCACCTGGGCCACCACATCTGGAGAAGCCTCCAGGAGTTGGATGAGGAGGAGGATGGGTTGAATGGGAGAGGGTTTGGGGTCACGGGGGTTCTGAAGACTTGGGGGGAGGCATGGCTGGGCACTACTCAGGGTGTGGGGAAGGGTGGGATCTGGGGGGGAACCTTGGGTGGCCCTTCTCCACCAGCGCTGGGGCTCACCCTCCTCCTCGCACCCAAAGGTTCACAGCAGCTTCAGCTTCCTGGAGGTGAAGGAGATGACGGTGCGAGAGCCCAGCTTGGTGAGCAGCACCAAACACCCCACCCCACCTCCTGCCCACCTGCCCCACCATGGCAAACCCTGTCCTGGAGACCAGTGCAGGGTCTGGTATCCCCCCATTGCACACTGAGGGTCACCACTGATGATCTGTGAGAGCTCCTCAGTGTGTTTGTCCCCTTTGCCACCCTTAAAGAAATCCTCTTGGATTGGGGCCGGAGGTGCGGGGAGGCAGGGGGGGTGCTGGAGGGGGGAGCGTGGGTGCTGGGGTGGGCAGTGCCTGGCCGTGGCACCTCCCCCTCGGCGGGGACAAGGTGACAAACGCCTGCTGGCTTACCCAGGCCAAGCCAAATTTAGCAAGAGGGTGTTTTAAACCCCGTTAATCCTCTTAGAGAGAGGCGTTGCACGTAGGGCAGACGCGGCCGGCAGCAACCCGAGAGGAGAGGAACGGGATGCTCCGATTGGGATGCATCAGCCGAAACGGGGCTGCCGTCCTCGTTAACCTCTTTAGCTGTTTTTTGCTCATTAAAACATCGTCGGCACCGGTGGCCCCAACCTCTAAAGAGGGGTTTCTGCTGCTTTGCTGACTGCGTGGCGGAGCTCTGGGGGAGAAATACAGAGGAGCTGGACAGAAAGCGAGAGGCGTTGGGGGTTGGAACCCCAGGGCGGAGGGGCGGTGTGTGAGATATCTGGACCGGGGTTGGAAAGCCCAGGGGCTGTTGATGTGCAGGCAGAGTGCAGGCAGGGCCGGGTCCCGCAGCCCCGGGCGCCGGCGGATGCGCCATCCTTGCGCGGTGCCAGCAGATAATTGTCATCTCGCTCCCACGCCTCAATCAGCGTGTAATTAAATCAGGGAGCGTGTTGCCATGGGATTTTTTTCCTTTCTTTTTTTTTTTTTTTTTTTTTCACCCAACGGCTAAAAAAGCCTCAAAACCCCATTAGATAAACGCAGGGAGGAAACCCCGTTCCTCCAGCTGCGGCTGCTGCGGGCAGAGCGGAGGCTTCTCTCGCCCCCACCGCTTTGGGCTCCTTTTGCACGAGCTTAGCTTGAATTTCGGGGAGGTTTATGCCTTATTCAGGCGCGCTGCAATCCCTTTAATGTGTTTTATCCTAAATTCCTGGTGCTCGTCAGCCTTCCCTGCGCTCACGGCGCTCCAGCTGGGTTTAGAAGCAGCGGCTGGGTGTTTGCCGTGAGGAGCTGCTGGCTGTCACCGTGGTGTCTGGGGGTTTGGGGACACTGCGTGCTGCCAGCTCGCTCAGACATCTCCTGTCCTTTGGACCCCGCAGGTTGTCATAGAAACGGATGCAGCATCTTATGCCTTCCGGTTCATGTGCTTTGATGATTTGGAGCAAGTTGTCATCCACGTCACCATGTCGCTTAAGAAGGTCTTTCCAGACTCATCCCCTGGGTAAGGGTCTTCTGCTCCTCAGGGGTAGTTGTGTCGGTGCCAGAGTGAACTCTTTGCTCAGCAAAGCCCCAAATATGAGATGGGTTCACAATTAGCGCCTTTTAACAGGAGAAAACCACACTGATGGAGGCCAGACCCTGCTCCCCCATCACATTGGGAAGGATATTTCTGGCCACCCTCACACACAGGGGCTGTAGTTCAGCATAAAGTGGTGGGGATGCTCTTCTCCCGACCCACCACCATGCACCCCTCTCGTCCTTCCCCAGGACGCTGCTCAAGAACTCCCCCCCCAACCTGTACGAGAGGATCCGGCAGATCACGGACTCGCTGGAGGACATGCTGCAGAGCAGCCCCGGGCCCTGCGGTAAGCCCTCTTATTCCTCCCACACATCTCCTCCAGGATGGGCCAGGAGGGTTGGAGCACCCTGGGGCCCATCACAGCCCAGTGTCTGTCAACACTGGCTCTGCTGACAGCTCCCACCCCTGCTGGCAGGGCACCCATGGTGGCTTAGGTGAGAAGGAGCCCTCCTAGTGCAGTCTTCTCTCCACCAGCTCACCCCATCTCATGGGGCAGGAGCAGGTTTGAGGAGACGTAGCTCCCTAGAAAGGAGCAGGATGCTCAGTGTCTACCTGTGAGAACGTGCGGCTGTGGATGCTTCCACCCACCTCATACAGCATTGCCGCAGTACCAGGGGCTTCTCCTGTAGCCTGGTTTGGAGCAGGATACCTCCATTATCATCACACAATGCACCTTGCCTGGTATCTACATGGACCAAGCAAAGCCGCCCGCAGCCCCTGGCGTCATGTGATCCCTTTTGGGTTGGCAGTAGACCACGCAGGATGTTCTGGCCCCTTTGAGGAGGGAAGGGAGAGCCTCCACTGTTCTTCTGCTTTCTGCCCTCCCCAGAGGTCTTCTCCATGTTCCTGTGGGAAGGTTTGCCACCAAGCTTGCCTTCTTTTTGCAGGGGGCTTTTCGGAGACCTACGCTGCTTTATGTGATTACAACGGCTTTGCGTTCCGTGAGGAGATCCAGTGGGTAAGCTGGTCTGTCCCATGGAGAAGATACAATGACAGAGTACCAATTGGCAGGCGGGGAAGCAGGAAGCTTACAGGGTTGGTGGGGCTGGGGACATCCCAGGGACATCCTGGAGACAAGGGTCATCCCAGAGCTTGGAACTGCAGTTTTGTCTGGCTTGAGTGCCCCTTGCTTCTCGGTGTGGTGGAATCAAAGTGCAGATAGGGATGAGATGTCTTGGAACAAGTTGTTTCCCAGACTGGAAATGTGGGACCTTGCTGGGTGTCCCTAGTGGAGGAGAACCCCTCTGGGACCCAACAACAGCAGGACCAGATGTTCCCCTCTTCCTCTGGGACACTGACTCCTGCCCACCTCTCCCCACGCCCTCCTTCCCACCAGCCTGGGGGTGCGTTGTCGTCTTCTGGCCAGTCCCTGCAGGAGGGATCCAAGACCCACAAAGCCATCCCACCAATGTGGGACACGTGCCCTGCCAGCCGCAGCACCAGAGGAGGTTCTAGGCTCAGGATTTTAGGCAAGGGGCTCCCCCGGGGAGGGTCCCAGAGGGCTCAGCTCCCTCCAGCAGCACTGGGCAGCCGAGCCCTCCCCAGGACCAGGTGCTAAGCCTGACCTCTGTGCCCATCCATCCAAACAGGACGTGGACAACATCTACCACAGCCAGGACTGCCGGGAATTCAACCTGCTGGACTTCAGCCACCTGGAGAGCCGGTGAGTCCCCCAGCCGTGTGGTGCCTCGTGCCACGCCACCACTTGTCCCCCATCCTCCCCGTCCACGGCAGGGGTGGCCCGACACACTCCTCTGCTCACATTAGAAGCTTTTTGTCGCTTTACACGCTCCAAGGACGTGACATCTGCCGGCTGACGCACCCCCGCACCAAAGGCGACGAGCCCCGTCCCATGGGGCGACAGCCCCCTGAGGCCATGCAGCCTCCCCGCTTCATTTTTAACACTTAAATAAGCCGACGAGCTGCTCACGGGGGTGAAAACCGAAAGTCACGGCAGCTTCTGGCAGCTCATGGCTGTCAGGTGTTTCCCTATGCAAAGCAGGTGACGCTGCTCCCCCTCACATACACAAATATACATAATAAATAGCCGTTATGGGGTCATAGCCTCTCAGCAGAGCGCTGGCCGTGCATGGATTCGTCCCTGCAGGGCTCAGCCATGTCTCCACCCCGAGAAAGATGGAGTGAAGGTTCAGCTCAAACTTGTTTCCAGTGGAGCAAAACCCATGGTGTTCTTTACGTGAGAGCTCAGGATTAAAAAGACAAAAAAAATCCAAAACCCCAAGGTTTTGATAGAAAGATGCAAATATTTTGATGAATTTTATTTTCCCTGAGGGAATAATCTGGGGATGATGAGCTGTGTTTGTGGGTTGCTTTGAGCTCATGGACCCCGGTCCTGCTCCCTGTGGTGAGGCATCCCCGGGTTGGGTGTCTCGGGTGTCTTTGGGACCAGTCTTGGCTCAGCCTGGCCCCTGACTCCCTCGTCCTTGTCACCCTGCAGAGACGTGGCACTGAGCATCGCTGCCTTGTCCTTCAACCTGTGGTTCACCAAGCTCTCCTGCAAGGACTTCAGGCTGGTGAGTACCGGTGCCGCGGTGCTGGGCGTGCTGGAGATGGCCGGGTTTCCAGAAAGACTTTCTTCTCCCCTGCCAGAACCAGGAGATCTCGGAGCAGCTGCTCTACATGCTCAGCAAATCGGTGACACTGGAGGAGCTGGTGCTGGAAAACAGCGGGTTGAAAGCGTAAGCAAAGGCGTTGCAGGGCCCTGGTGTGGTGGTCTCAGCAGCCTGGTCCTGCTCCCTTCACATGCATGGAGCAGGGTGCTCCATGGACTCCCCATGGCCAGAGGGGGTGTTGGTGCGCCATCCCCTCCTTCAGCACGAAGCTCACTGGGAGCAGAGACCCCCCTGTAGCCTGGAGGCCAACAAGTATCACCTACCCTTGGAGATGCTCTGCTTTCTCCTGCTGGCTCCTCGGATGGAGCCAGCTCTGCTATGTGGGCAGGAACTGCTGGCACGTCCCTGTAAGGCCACAGGGCTGGCAGCTGTGTCTCCTGGAAGTGGCCGTAGCTTGCTCAGATGGATGGCCCTTCTCCCCGCAGCGACTTTGTGCAGAGGATGGCCCAGGCACTCAGCAACCATCCTGACTCTGTCCTGCACACCATCAACCTTGCTGGCAACCAGCTGGAAGACAGAGGTACCCAACTTATTGGCCAGGATGAGTTTCCACCCAGGAAAACTGATGTACAACTCCGGATCCCACTGGTGGCTGCCGCCTTCTCTGGGGGCTGCAGCTCAGGATGGGACAGCTCAGGGCTCTCTGCTCTTTCATTAGGGATCGTTGCCTTCAGCCGGCACGTGGAGAAGAGTCCCAAGGGTCTGCAGAGCCTCAGCTTGGCCAGGACGATGCTCAGTGCCAAAGGTACAGCCTGGCATCCCGCTCCCCACCCGGGCGCCACTGGGAGGCTGGGCACGGCGCTGCTTGGGGACAAACTGGCACCAGAGGGCTGGCTGGAGGGGCTGCAGGGACACCTTGGAAAGGGCATCTTCAAGGATGAGATGTCCTGCTGCCCCAGCTGGAGGAAAGTTGTCCCTTCTCCGCTCTCTGGTGCAGGGGTCCTACAGGCATCCATCCATCTCTCCCCCTCTCCTCGAACAGGGATGAGCACGTTATGCAAAGCCCTCGCGGATAACAAAGCCATCGGATCTTCCCTCCAGCACTTGGACCTCTCCGGAAACCCCGGCAGCCTGGCTGGGGAGGACATCAGTGTGAGTGCCCGGGCTGCAATGGGGTGACACCACCGGGGCTCCGTCCCCTGCATGGGCTCGATGGTTTCGGTCCCCTGGGGTCTGCACCCATTGCAGCACTCCGGGGATGGGGAAGTCATGGCTGTGACACCTCCCTGCCTACCCAGGGGCTTTTGGGGGATGCACGGGGGGACATCCTCATGCATCTCCTTGTAAGAGGGTGGGAGATGCCACCTGGAGCAAGGAGGCACCCCAGGAGCAAGAAGCATGGAGCCGGGTCCTGCTGTGCAGGATGAATCCCTGTGCTCAGCCGGAGGGAGGAGGCATCCCGTGGGGATGTGCGGGGTGCTGGGTGGGGGGTGTCGGGGTCCTGGGCAAAGCTGCTGAGCCCTCTCTGCCCGCAGAACCTGCAGAGCCTCCTCCGCCAGTGCCACTCTATCTCCCACCTCATCCTGGCTGGCACAGACTGCCCGTTGGATGCTGTGAGTACCCGCACAGGGGGTCCCAGCAGTGCACCCCTGTGCTCAGCATCCCCCCTCCTGAAACCCTGCTGCGCTGCTGGGGGGGGTGCTGCTACCCCATCCCAGCTGGCATGGGTCAGCCAGCCCAGCGATGTCCCACTCAGTTCCCACCACTGTGGGTGGGCTGGGGGACTCAGGGGTCAGCAGGAGGAAGAAGGGAGCCCCAGCACAGGGCAGAGACCCCCTTAGCACCCCCGGCAGCCCATCCCATCCCATCCCATCCCCGGGCTGGTGAGGGGCTGCAGCACCAGCTGGGACCTCTTTGATACCACTCACATCCCCACCCCGGCAGCTTTTTGGAGCCCTGGTCCATGGATGCCACACCAGCCTCGTCCATCTGGATCTCTCCAAAAACGTGTACTCCCAAAAGTAAGCCCCCAGGGCGGTGGGGACGGGAGTGCGATACCCAAGCGGGTGGCCAATCCTGTGCAGTAGGTGATGCCACGTTGTGCCCATCCTTTTCAGGAGGGTGAAAACCATCTCCCCTGACATCAAGGAGTTTTTCAGCCAAACCTGTGCCCTCAGGCACGTCTCCATGGCGGGTACGAAACTGCCAGCGGATGCTGTAAGGTGAGGTGGGGCTGTGAGACCACCGAGGGGGAACGGATCTGGAGTGAGCAGGACCTCGCTCAGGGCTCTGCGTGTCGAGAGGGCTGGTGGGGAGGATGGATGGGGCTGTGAGAGGCAGAGCTCTGGGAAGGATGTCTTCTCCAGCACCCCGGTCCCACTGCCTGGGCCACTGGGGGCACCCCATGGTGGGTGCCGGTGCCCCTGTTGCTCACACTGATGGGTGGCTTTGGTGACTTTTCCAGGGCGCTGCTGCAAGGGCTGGCAGACAACAGTCACATCAGCGACCTACGCCTGGATCTTAGCAACTGCGAGGTGAGGGGCCAGCACCCATGGGTGCTGTCAGTCCAGCCCGGGGGTCCCACTGGGGCAGCGGGGGGCTCACTCCCCATGTGGGAAGGTCCATGCCGTGTCCACCGTTGGGCTGGGGTGACCTTCCCGACGGCAGGATCTCGTTTGCAGGGCTCGGCGCCTCCCCCTTGTACTGATGTCTTGCTGTTTCTTCCAAGCTGAGATCAGCGGGGGCCCAAGTCATCCAGGACCTCATCCCTGACGCCAGCTCCATCAGCGACCTGGACTTGTCTGACAATGGTAGGTTGCTTTTTTCCCCAAGACGGGTGAGCATCTCCTCCATCTGCAGGTCCAGCCACCGCGGGCTGTTTGGCAGAGGCCAGCTCAGCTCCAGCGTCTCATGAGCTTGTAGGAGTCCCTGGGGAGATGGGTAGGGTCCACTGCGCTTGCCTGCATCTTGATCGTGCTGGCTAATGCAACATTAAACTGCACTTATCACCTGTAGAAGTCCTTCAGCAGCAGCTGCAGCATCACAGTCTGTGTCTCATGGGGATGAAGGTACCCAATGGCCAGCAGTGGGTTCCTGCCTGAGAAATTAGAATCATAGAATGGTTTAGGTTGAAAGGACCTGGAAGATCATAGAGTTCCAACCTCCCTGCCATGGGCATGGACACCTCCCACCAGGTCAGGTTGCCCAAGGCTACGTCCAGCCTGGCCTTGAACACCTCCAGGGATGGGGCCTCAACAACCTCTCTGGGCAACCTGTTCCAGTGCCTTACCACCCTTAATTACTACCTCATCAGGCTTTATGTATTTTTACCCACCAAAGCAACCACCCCTCCGCCTTCCCCAAGGCAGGCACTCCCTACCTGTGCTCTTCTCCCTGTGCTGATGTCCTTCCCAAGCATGTCAGGCCTCTTCCATCACCTTCCAGCGTTGCATCCTGTGGTGGGCAGCAGTGGTGGTCCTCATTCGGAACAAGCATCTCCAGCACGTGGAGCATGGGGTGATTTCTTCATCCTCTCCTGCCTCAGGGCTCGCCAAAAATTCTCATTTCACTTCTTTCTTGGTACAAGCCTCTTCAGCTCGCTGAACCCGAGGTGGTCTCGCATTGCTCGCTCAGGGTTTGAAGCACTGAAAAGGTCTCCCTGAGCTGAAATTCTTCCCACCTCTCTGCAAGAGTTTACAGTCCTGCTGTGGCCACCGAAGCTGGGGGCGAGCAACCCGAATTATCACAAACATCACCTCTGCCAGCTCTTAATTTCACCTAAAAGGCCCCAAACCTTAAAGCAGCCTTGCTAAGATCTCACAGCAAACCATGCAGCGCCTCGACAGCCAGATGGCTCTGGGAAAAGCTGACGTGGTTTGAAGTCATCCAAAAACCTGTTCAGTCCACCAATGCTCCAAAAGCTCACTCTCTTACTCAAAGTCTCCGGCCGACCTTTGCCAAAATGTACTTCTATTTTTGGCTCTCCCAGTAGAGCAGCTCCATGCAGAAGGGATGGTCCTGTGGGTGGGTTTTGGTGCCTCTTGCCGTTGTCTGGCGGAGCGGCTTGGGCGAGCAGGTCCGTGCCCTGTGGAAGGATGTCACCTTGCCCAATTTCCCTGGGGATGCTGCAGCAGTGAGGATAGGAGTACAGGCAGCTGCCTGTGAGCTGTGTGAACTCCTCCCATGTTGTCCAGGGTGGTGGTAGGGTGATGGAGGGCATGTCCCTGCGGGATGACAGAAAGCAAGAGCCCTCTCTGGCTCCGTAAGGGTTCCCTGCGGCTCAGCACAGTGTTGGCACCCCAAATAGTAGGAGTCCTCAGAGTGTGTACTCCTTCCCTGGGGTTACTCCCCATAGGTCTTTGATCTCCTTGGGCCAGCCATGGAAAGGAGGAAGATCATAGAATCATAGAATGGTTTGGGTTGGAAGGAACCTTAAAGATCATCCAGTTCCACCCCCCTGCCCTGGGCAGGGACACCTCCCACCAGCCCAGGTTGCTCCAAGCCCCGTCCAACCTGGCCTTGAACATCTCCAGGGATGGGGCAGCCACAGCTTCTCGGGGCAACCTGCGCCAGGGGCTCGCCCACCTCACACGGAAAAAGTTCTTCCAAATGTCTCATCTAAATCTCCCCTCTTCCAGTTTGAAGCCATTCCCCCTCACCCTATCACTACATGCACTTGTGAAAAGTCCCCCCCCCAGCTCTCCTGTAGCCCCTTTAGGCACTGGAAGGCTGAAATAAGGTCTCCCTGGAGCCTTCTCTTCTCCAGGCTGAACAACCCCAACTCTCTCAGCAGAGGTGCTACAGCCCAGGAGACGCTCAGGAGTTGGCCTGGGCAACTCTACCATCCCACCTTGGCAGCTTGGTGGCTCTGCAGGTCACCCTTGGGGGACCACCCTGCTACTTTGATGCCACCTCTGTGGTCCAAGCTGCTTGGAGCATCCCTGTGGGTGCCTTCCGTCTCTCGCAGGCTTCGACCCTGACATGGTGACGTTGGTGCTCTCCATCAGCAGAAGCAAGTCCATTAGGCATGTCTCTCTGGGGAAAAACTTCAACATCAAATCCAAGTAAGTGCGAATTTGCAGCGCCTGGGCCAGGAGGCATCCTGGCACCATGCCCCCAGCTCACCTTTCTCCCCCCATCCAAGTCCATGGGCTGGTTGGAGATGCCAGGGATTGCCTGCCCACCCTGCTTGCTCCAACCCAACGGGGAGCCTGGGGCCGTGGTGGGACCATCTCTGCTCCTGCCATGGTTCCTATGGGATCGCAGGCACTGTGGGGTCAGGGTGGGAGGACGGAGCTCTGCCAGTGGTGCGTGTGTGTAACCCTCCTCACCGCTCCCATAGGGAGGGACTGGTGGACGTCCTTCACCGCATCGTCCAGCTCACCCAGGAGGACGACTGCGTAAGTCCGGCTTGCCCTCAACTGTCACACCCATGCCCTCAGCCGCCCTCCGCCGCCACCATGCTGGGGTGCCATCCAAATCCCTCCCAGCACAGTCTGGGAGCAAATCTCCCTCCCTCCCACTGCCATTCAAATCCTTCTGCTCTTATTTTCCTCCGTCTGAAGCAGATGCTCAGGCAGAGAGGCGAGAGCTGTTCCCATTCATCTGGGAAAGCGGGAGCCCGTGTCTGGCTCCAGGAGCGGAGGAGATGCTCGGTGTAACCTGGCTGCAGCCCAGCTTTCCAAAAAAAAGCAGACCCCTCTTTCCTCCCCGCTGCCTGCCAGGGATCTGAGCTAAATCCAGGGTGTTGCCGAAGCACCTGTTGCCCTCCCTTTTTTGGGGGGGTTCAGCACAACTTGTGCTCCCCAAAGCCAGGACCAGGCAGCCACCAGCCCAGCCAGGGCTGGAGGCTGTGTCTGCAGCGGTGACGCGTATCCTGATGCGTGTCCTGGCCACCTCTCCCCCTCCTTGTCGCCTCTCCAGCCTCTCCAGTCCCTGTCCCTGGCCGAATCGCGTCTCAAGCTGGGAACCAACGTCCTGCTGAGCGCCCTGGGCAGTAACACCAGCCTCGTCGCTCTGGACATCAGTGGCAACGCCATGGGGGACACAGGGGCCAAGATGCTAGCCAAGGCGCTGCAGATCAACACGAAGCTCAGGTAGCAGCAGCCCGTGTCACCCTGTGGGTGACATTCCCACCTTTGTGCCAGGTCGCCCTGATACGGTGGTCCTGGTTGCAATACTGGTGCCATCAGAGGAGGCTTATCATGGCTACTGGTAGCCATGGGTGCTGCTCTGGACCACTCCTGGGGCCATAACTGTATCTTGCTCTCATGACAGTCATCTGGTGGCGCTGACAAGGGACATGTGAAGGGCAGGAGAGCAGCTCAGTCCCTGCCCTGGCACTTGCCAGCTCTTTGCTGGCTCTTGCACAGCTTGGCACGCTGCAGCTGGACCTTTGCAGTCACTGCCATCACCCCACGCTCTGACGTCCCTTCCTAAAATGCCATTTTTGACCACGTTGTGCCCACAATGGCAAAGCAGGGATGGCTGCAGGGGACAGGGAATGGGGAAAGGACTGCCTGGCCATGTCCTCCCTGCCCTTCACTCCCTCCAGGCAGCCATGGACTTTACAGCTCCTTCCAAAGTCCAAGGAATCTTGAGGTTCAGATTTCTTTTTTAACCCCATTTCCAGGCTTTCTGGTGTCTTGGGCTTGCTCTTCCTGGCGCACTGCAGTGGCCGACGGGTGGGCGCCCACCTCGGGGCTGCGCGGGTGCGGGCAGGGCTCACTCCTGACCTTCTCTTTGCAGGACTGTGGTTTGGGACAGGAACAACACAACCGCCCATGGGCTCCTGGAGGTGGCTCAAGCTTTGGAGAGGTAAGGAGAGAGCAGCTTGGTCCTCCTGGCTTGCTGCCATCATGCAGAAGAGCCTCTAGCATCAGGGTGTCACCATCCCCAGGGTCCCCTTGAAGCGGCCAGTGCATCACACAGGTGTGTGCAGGTCCTAAGGGAGTTGGTCTATGGCTTGGGTCCTGCAGCCAGCAAAGCAACCTGCCACCCATTCGGTGATGGCACCTCCGTTACTGACCTCAAGGTCTCCCCTGGGCTCTGCCTCCCAGCCCAGCACAGCCCCACATCCCCCCCGGTGGCTCTGGCAAGCCTGGGGAGGGGGATCTGCTGTTGGTGGAGACACGGTGCTCTTCTCCCTCCCCATGAAAGACTGCTAGAAGTTGTCCACCTGCCAAGTGCACCGTCAGGTCTGGTGTTTGGCCATGCAGGTTCTCCGGAGGTCTGAAGACGGAGCGGGTGGACAGAGCCTGGGTGGGCAGTCGCTGCTGCCCCATTGGGCTTTGCTGCTGGCTGGAGTTTGGCCGTCCCCATCTCCAGGGTTGGACCTTGGGGCAATGTCCAAGATGCTGTTGGGTGGGCTCTGGCCCCATGTCGTGCCTTTGTGGAAATGCTTGGTGGGGATGAGGCAGAGGGGACCACCAGCACCCTGGTCCAGCAGCACGTGCTGCCTCGCAGGAACTACACCCTCAAGTCCATGCCCTTGCCGATGAGCGACGTGGCGCAGGCGTACCGCAGCAACCCCGAGAAAACGGAGGAGGCGGTGCACAAGGTGTGTGTGTGGGGAGGAGGACACACACCGTGGGGCTGGGTGCCACCGCCAGCCCGGCTACTGATGGCCTCTCGCCCGCCGTGCAGCTCCAGTCCTGCCTGCCAAAGAACCAGCTGCGGCGCACGCTGCCCGCACAGACCTTCCGCCTCCAGCAGGGCATCCTCACCACCTCTTCCGAACAGGTTTGCCAGCCAAATTGCTGCGTGGGGCTGCTTCCCCCTGCCCCAACCCACCCTGCGGAGATCTCGCAAAGAGCCCCCACCCCACCCCCCTCCCCGTACACCTTTCCCGAGCGGAGGGCAAAGCTATCCAGAGGGATGAGAGTGGGGCCAGACAGAAAAGATATCTCCGAGGAGAAACCCTCCTGGTTGCATCCATGCGTTTGATGCATACGTGACGCTGGGATATCTCGCGCGCTGTCCCACGCAGTGTGTTTCCCGCTCCCTGCGCACAGCAAATCCCCCCCACGCGACATCCCCGGTTATCAGGCAGGGATGCTCTGGGGGGGCTGTAACCTGCCTGTGCCCCCGCTTGCCCCATGGGGCAGCTCCCAGCGCATCCTTCTCCGGCAAAGCGACGGCAAAGAGGGGGGAACTGGCAGTGCCTCTCCGGCGTCGGTGTGTGATGCAGCCTCTCCGCGCTCCAGATGGTGAACGAGATCTGCCTGAGCGTGCAGAAGCACGTCGACATCCTCAGCGCCTGCTCGGGCAGGGAGGCGGAGGCGGACATCCTCTGCGCGGAGGAGGCCATCAGGAACGCCAACCTCTCCATCAGCGTGAGTCTGCCGCGCGGGGAAAACCCCTGGGCTCGCCCAGCTTCGATTCGGGATCGAAGCGGGTTATTGATTAGTTAATGACATAATTAAGCAGCAGCAGCCGGGGAACAGCGGAATTGTCGATGCAACGGCTGCACACCACTGAGCTCCTGCAAAATATTAAAGAACAGCTGTGGATTTCTAAATCCTCCTCTAGATAGAGTCCCAAAATGTTCTTAATCCCCCCCCCCCACATGCACACCGCTGTCTGCACACCCCCCGGTGAACTGGGGGTTACAAGAGCACCCTCTACTCGTGTCCCCTGTCCTTGGGGGAGGTGGGTGCTCCAGCTTTGGATGCCCACACTGGTGAGAAACATCCCCTGTGTCCTTGGGGGGGGTCCCTCCTTGGGGTACCTTCATCCCGCCCTGGCCAGATGCAGCTGAGCGATGTGGACGCTCCACCAGTCCATGACGAAGGCCACCACGTTGGCTGGGCAGCTCCTGGCACCATCAGCCCTGGTTTGATCCTCATGGTCCCGCTTCTCGCTCCCCATCGTACTACTATTCCTCCTCTATTTCTCTTCAAACCATCTCCTTTTCCTTTTTCCCAGCTCTCTTAGCACTTCAACCAGTGGAGGTAGGATTTAAGAGGACAGTGCTCCTGGTGGAAGGGGTGGTGAAAGGGATGGGAAAGGATCTCTTCCAACGTAGCCACCAGCACGGCTGGGCGCAGGGAGGGGAGGAGGGTTAGTGAGTATAGGGGAGTAGTTGAGGGCCCACCTGGGGGCCCACGGGGACTGTGAGGGGCCGAGCAAAGCCAGAAGGTCACTGGGTTTCTCCAGGTGATACTTATCCATGGGGCAGCCATGGATGGAGGCTGTGCGTGGAAGGATGGAAAGCAAAGATGAGGTGTCGGTGGATGATCCATGTCATCTCTCTCCCCATGGCAGATCCTGCCCCTCTTGTATGAAGCGGGAAACACCCCGTACCAGAATGGCAAACTCCAGCACAAGCTGGAGTGTCTCACGGAAGAAGCGTCGCAGACCTGTGGCCGGGAGATCCAGGTGGGCACCCATGGGGAGTATGGGATGCTCATCAGCCTTGGCCTGAGGATGAGGGACATGGCGTCTCCTGGAAACCACGTGCATCCTGATGGAAAAGACACCAAAACCCCCACTTTTGTCCCCAAACAGGCGATCATGCAGGCAGCGCTGGACACAGCACACAGCCTCTGCCCAGCCGTGGTGCAGAAGAGCGGGGTGAGGGACCAGCTGGTCAACGCCATGTCGGAGCGGATCTACCTCCAGGACCACCTCAACATCAGTACCGTCCTGGACCAGATGGTCACCGATGTCTTCAGCAAGCTGAAGTGGGTGATGTGCCGTGTCCTCTGCAGCCCAGGGCATGTCCTGCATGCTCCTCTGGGTGCCACGGCTGAGCATCCATCTCCCAGACCCCAAGGGTCTCCCTTGGATAGGGGGGATGAGGGGGCTGCTGGCCCCATAGCTTGTAGGGGTGGTGGGTGCTGGTCCTTACACTCCTCTCTCCACTCCCAGTGAAATCAAGCTGTCCGTCACAGCCGCCGTGGCCGACTGCATCGTGGATGCCGTGCTGGGAGACCTGACCATAGCCCAGTGCAAGCTGGGGAGCACTGGGGGCCACCAGCCTCTGCTGCGGGATGGGGATGCGGGACTGGGATGCAGGATGGGGGGGGGTACCATGGCATTGCCCGGGTGCTGGCCACCACGGTGACCGCAGATTTGCCGTCCAGGAAGCAGGACGATTCCCGCCCAGGCTGGTTTTTCCTCCCAGGTAATCCTCTCCCGGTACGGTCACCGCAGCATTAAGGTCCTGAGTGGGGGCCGGGAGCTGCCGCGTCATAGGGGGTGTGCCGGGGTGAAGCCGGGCACCGGCCGCTCGTGCACCGGGGCAGGCGTGGGGCACCTGCGCCGGGGCTGGCAGCCGGCTAATCAGGCCTAAATCCCCTCGTAAATCCCGGCCGCGGGTAGGGAGCGGAGCAGCGTGGAGCATGCAGAGCGGCCAGCCCCGC